GAGTACTGGTTCAAGGTAACTAAATATTTGTCAAATTGAAGTTAAAACAACTAAGTTTTGTTTCCCGTGTAGCAAGGGAGGAAATTTTGACCTTGGCATGAGCAAAACAGGTGCGCGGTGGTAGGCCGCTATTGTGACTCATACGCTTGACGCCAGTCGCCAGTATGACGTTTACGGCGCAACAGAAGGCACAGATTGTAATCTGTGGTTCGCAGAGTTTATATCAATTACTAAATTAAAATAAATTTAAATCTACTTGATGATAAAGAAACTTGAAGCTGGTTTAATGAGTTTTGTAGCACCGTAGTGTTTTGAAAAGACATTCACCTGGCCAGCTAAAAACAAGCAATGCCATAGTCGAAGAAATCCGACAATTCTGCATCAGAAACCCAAAAAAATCAATTGCCTGACGAAGTCTTCAGTTGAACAAAGCTAAATTGGTCACTTTATGATGTTTTCTGTAAAACATAGAGTCTTTGTGCCTAAAAGGATTCGTTGAAGAGATCAGATAAACCTGCCGATCACCCTAATCGTACAGACTTTGCCAGTTTTACGCTCATATAAGATTGATGAAAATCTGAATTTTATTAAATCATTCCAAATTGTATCAAAGAATGAGGAAAAAACTTTGTTCTTTTTCCTTCAATTTGACGTTTAAATTGTTTAATTATCTTGAATAGTCCCCGAGCAACGACCGTTTAAAATTCCGGCATTTTAAAAACACCCTGTACTTCATAAAAATTTATGTAAATAAATGACAATGACCTTTATTTTGAGTTATGTTAAAATATTGAAACGCATGTGTGTAAATTAATATAAGGTGTATATCATATTTAAGCCTTTTTAATACTTAAACTGCTTATTGATTTTTCATGAACTCAGAATGTTGATAAGGAGCTAATTTTACCTTCCCCTTGCAACAACATAAAGAAAATATATTTGTGCCCCTGTTAGTCTGTTCTGGCTCTAACTTCCTATATTTTTATGCCTATATTTTTATTTGGTAAACTGCCATAACCGTTTACATTTAATTTGATTGTATTTATATGTAATATTTATATTTTAATTTATATTTATATTAATATTTTTTTTATTATATTTATATTTATAGGCCTTTCTTACTTAAATTTACATTTTTTAAACGGGCAGTTCAGAAGACGGGGCACGGAAGCCACGTCATGTTGGTAACATTGACAATTCGAAGTAAGCGGCAGGCAGGTTGCCAGTATGGATACTAAAAAAGTCCCACACGCCCCTGCTCGCCCCTCCACGCAACTCTCCATCAATTCCAGAACATGAAAGGATCCATAATGTCATATGGGTTCAAGTTATGACCAAATGTTACAGGACCACTTTTGTTAGCTGTATTGTTCTACACCTTTTAATTTTCTAACTCTTCTCTAGAGTCATTATTAAAAGAATTAATAAATACTAGTGTACATGTTGCTCGAATTCGAGCAATTGCAAATATTACAGAAGATATTTCAAAACGAATAACAGTCATATTTACAACGAATTTAAAAGAGTCAACTCAGACTATGTTTATCTTCGTTATTGATAAACCTAAAGCATTCGGGCCGGTTTTCTCCTTCTCAAAATGCCTCGCTGTACAGGCAACACAGGTCATTTATAGAGGGCCAATTGAGAACGAAAAGTCGTTTTGGGGTAGTGTTAGGGGGCATTTGTAACCTAATAGTTGAGATTGTCCAGGGTCAGGTGCTGACTGTGATGAGTTAAGCCTAATACTCGCCACTGTTCTGTGAGCTGCGGTCGTTATCACGATTACGCCTCCTGTCTATATGTGTTGTTGTCGTCACGTCGGAGGCATATAAAAGAAAAAAAAAACTACAAATAAACAAATGATAGCTACACAAAACAACGATAAATGTTACAATCGTACTAACACGATCCGTCATAGCTACACAAAACAACGATAAATAAATACACAAATTTAAGATACTGTACAACCATACTAACAAAATCCGTCTTGGAGGTTATGTTTACACAAACTCAAATAGTAAATAAATGTACTCGATGGGTTTCATTGAATTGAAAAATAAATAACAGCAATTAAATTAAACAGCTGACCAAAATGTAAACAATTATGTTCTTCATAAGGGTAACATGGGAACTTTCAAAGCCACTGGGGCAGAGCCCAAGGGACTTTTTCAAAAATGTAAGGCCAGTTTGCAAATCTACGCGACACGTTCTTTCCAATGAGATGTCAATGGATAAAATCGGTTAAGAAATGGCGGAGGAGTTCAACCGACAAAGTTTCATGTAGTGTATTAATTATATAGATTTTCGTAATGAGCGACATTTCCTACCTGTAGGCTAAACGAAACGTGATACGTATATCTATATAATTAATACGCGAACACGAAGTTTGTCGGTTGAACTCCTCCGTCATTTCTTAACCGATTTTATCCATTGACGTATCATTGGAAAGAGCGTGTCGCGTAGATTTGCAAACTGGCCTTGAACTGGATTTTGAAAAAGTCCCTTGGGCTCTACCCCAGTGGCTTTGAAGGTTCCCATGTTATCCTTATGAAGATCATAATTGTTTAAATTTTGATCACCTGTATAATTTAATTGCTGTCAATATTTAAACTGCATTTCAAAGAAAAGCGTCCTACAAAAATTAAATCTTTGAAAAATAAATCATTGAAAGAACCCATTTGCAAATTATTGAAACATTAAAAGTCATAGAACGCCCCCTAGTAGAAGAAATAGAGATAATATTTTTTTAAAGAATTAACTATCGTCATTAGCCTGTATAATGAAGAACACCTACAAGATTCAGATTCCTACAAACTATGAACGAGGATGTTAGCCGAAGTGCTACAAATTTTATTAGGAAACATGGACTTAACTTTGTAATCATTGCAGAGGAAAGCCCTCTAAAGCCAAATAAATCTGGTACGTCAATGACATTAACCTATGTTTTCATAAAAGTCAAGCAATTTTAATAATAGCCTATGAAAATATCCAAGAGCCCCTTACCAACATTTTACTGAAGGCTTTTAATTATTATTCATATGCTAAGGGAAACAAAAATCATCTGAACAACAGAAGGTCTTTAACTTTGCATTTCTCAGGTAAATATAATTAACGTTATTGCAACTAAACAAAAAATACACCAATTGAACAAATAAAATTGTGACAGACAATTTAATGAAAAATAAGTACGACAACGAATTTAACACAAACAAAAAACTAACATTTGGATTATGAGTTAAAATTCTGGTGACGCAATAACAACGATAAATATACAGAAAATCAAAACAAATTGAAGACTGGTACACAATCATCACATGTTTGATTTTCAGCGTGGGATGAATATAGATAAGTTCATATTTTATTTGGATTGTGGTCGAGTTTTGACCACTGGACGACATCAATTCTTATATTAAAGTACTTAACTCATTAAGGTACTTCAATAATACCTAAATGATAAATACCTTCTATTTAACTCAAATAAAACAATCTGGTATTAGGTATAGATGTATTTACTCAAAAACCTATTTCTATTATAATTTAGTCACGAGATCCAAATGTTTAGACCTATCTATAGATTATATCCGCTTGTTTGGATCATACAAGTCTAGATAGTATTTTTTAAATTTTAAATATGGTATTTTTTTATTAAACCCATTATGCACTACAGACATTTTGCGTACAATTTACTTTGCTAACATACACTCTCATATTTGTTACGGAATAAAGATTTATGAGGGAACAAGTAATTGTAACTATAATCAAATTTTATATTTACAAATGAATGCTACAAGATGAAACCTTAACCTGGATTAATACTGTTTGAATTTTTTCCGAAAATAGGAGATGAAAAATAGTGGAAAAAAAGGCACTACGACTTATTTGCGTTGTGCACCACGAATATTATGTAGAAAAAATTTCGAAATTTCGTACATACAGCTTAAGAAGTTAAGACTAAATATTTTTCATAGTTTAGAAATTTTAAAACGTGAACTAATACTGTATTTCCTTAGTATTGTTGTTGGAAGACGGCAATTGCTAAAATACTGTGCGCGTAAACTAATTCATTCACCTCATGGTGGTCATCTACGTCGATTATTGGACAAACTAAAAGTCTTACGAAAAAATGTTTGGAACAAAAATTGAAGAACATCTTATTATCTATACTTTTCTCGCTGAAAGTTTTCATCTGACCAAAAAATAAAAAAAATCCTCGCTCACTTACTTTTTCATGTTTACATTGAACAACCTTTTCATATTTTCCATTATTAAACATTAATCATCTGCACGAACTAAATTGTATTTATATAGTATTAAACATCAGTTTACGCAGAATTTAAATATGTAAATTTCATCCTCTCACTATTTGTATTACAATTTAGACGAACGTGCAAAGCGACAGGGAACGCACCACTTCGAATAATCTCGCCAACATCGGAAACTCTCTTCCAGCATGTGTGTGTGTAATGGGTGCGTGTGTGTGCGTACGTTATCGCTTCCTGCACAGACTGTACCCATTGTCACTTGGAGTTATGAAACTTGGTGTTATGAACCCTTGGAGTTATGAAACTTGGACTTGTGGTCCTTGCAAATCTGTACGTTTGGAGTTATGAAATTTTGTATTTTAATTTACTTGGTTTTATTTTAACTTGGACTTATGAATCTTGGAGTTATGAACGCTTGGAGTTATGAAACTTGGTCTTATGATATTTTGGTTTTAATTTACTTGGACATAATTTTACTTGGAGTTATGAAATGTTGTATTTAAAAGTACTTGGAGTTATGAAAACTTGGAGTTATGAACCTCACCCCTGCCTAAGTTGCTAAGTTGAGTCTTCTGCACTGCACTAATGATGACGTCATAATGGCACCTGAAAAATCTCCCGTGTGCCGCACCGTTAAATCAACATCTTACTACATCAACTTACAAACAAAGAGCAAACTAGAAGAAGAAGAATGTTTGAGGAGGAACAGAAGAGCTCAGCTGAGCTATTGTAGTGGACAGTGGTGTAGTGAGCTGACAGCGACAGCGACAGCGCGACAGCTGAGTGAGACAGAGTAAATATCTCCAATTACACACAATACAAATCAACAAAAAATCAGGACCCATTGAAAACAATGAAAAGCTAAAAGTTCGATCACTTCTATCTCTATAGTCTGTCTCTCTTTACCTCTGCTCTGGCGTGTGTAGTTTATTAGTGATTCACGCATTTGTTGTTGTTTACTACTAGTACCAACCCAATCTAGTACTTAGCCATATCCAGTCACTTCACTGTTAGGCCATTCTTCTTTCTTCTCAAGAGACGATATTTTGCGTGCTTTGTCCTTTGTCAAGAGCAAGTGTTAAACAAAATAAGTCGATATCCTCCAACATAAACACAGTTCTGAGTTCAGCAGCAAACTTGAAACTGACAGTCCACAGTCACAAGTGTTAATTCTCAGCGTGGTTGTATTTAAACATAGCCTAGGTCGCGGTCGAGTACAAAGGACTTTTTATCTTGCTGTGATTTATTAATTTAGGCATTTAACTTCAAATACTTAAATGAACTGAATTCGTTTGTTTGGAGAGAATTTAACTTATAGACCTACTAAGTTAGTGAACTTGTAAGCGAGTATCAAGTATATCAACAGATCCACACAAGGTGGCCTGAGACCTGAGTTATTCTAAGTGGATGTGAAAGAACAGGATTTTAGATGGCAGCAAAGAGTTTTTTTAATCGACTTAAGTTTTGGAAAAGGAGTGTCAATGAAGAGCACCAAGAATTCAGTTCAGAATTTTTGCTTGCGAACCGGTTAAAAATATATGAAAAATATGTAAACCAGATTCAGAGAATTGTGATGTGGGAGAACCCTGCTCTCAGCATTGTCTGCATTCTCTCTATCAACCTTCTTTTCTGGTAAGAAATTAACTGCTGTTAACTTAATCCTACATAAGGTCTAAGATAAGTTTTTTGGATTACTGTAACACCTTAACCTAGATTATTTTATGCTTGACCCTCTCTGTCTACCTACCAAAATAAAAGCCTATAGGCTAACTTAGTCTTTAAGGCAAGCATTTTTGAAATTGTTTGGCCCATTTTGTTGTTTTAGCCTACCTTAAGTTATTATTCTTAGGCTATCCTTTCTATAATATTATGGTAGGCTACAGTAACTAACCTCGTCAAGTAGCCTAAGTTAGGCCTAAGTAATCGAAATGTTGATTGAAGTTAACAACCTAACTTAGCCTAGGTAGGAACATGTTTCGCCGTAAATGCGGCATCTTCAGGTTAAACAAAAACCCGGTTTCAATTGTCCAAAAACAGTCTGGACGCAGGCTAACTTAACTTATCATAAATTAATGAGTCGGTTAATTTTAACCAAAATTGTACATGCTGTAAAACGGGGTGACCTGAGGCCTGTGTTATGACTTGAAACCATAAGCTAAAAAAGTTTTAAATTGTTTTAATCTTTTAATTAGGTAGATACCTACTTGATATAAGTTATTACTTTTACACTTAAACTTTTTTTGAAGCCTAATAACTTACCCTTAGCTTTATATGGTATAATAATAACTTCAATTGAAACAAAATTGAATGTAAAAAAAACTAAATTTAAAAGCAAAAAAGTTTCTCAAAAATATAAACCCGAATAGTAGCTAAGTTTATGATAGGTACTTTTTTCAGAACAATGACCCTGTGAAACCTGTGGCATTTTTTTCTCTTTTTTCAACTTAAATTACATTATCATCATAGTTTTGTTTTAAGTTATCTCTTATCTAAGTTATGATAGGATTGTCACAAACCTCGTCTTATCAAAACTCAACATAATTTTCCTGTCGTTGGGGTGATTTGATACCACAGTGGCTGTACATGATAGCTGCCCTTCTTACAATAATTTTAGTTTCTGAGGAGGACTACAAAATAACTTCAATGTCAATGAGTGGCCCAAACCATTTTAAATGGCCTATCAATCCAGATGTATGCTGGTATAACAAATGTGATAGCCTATAAAAGAACCAATTAAGGTAAACTGCCCAAATACCGTGACCTTAAGGACGGACGGTTCTCTTGTAATTGCCTTATAACAAATAAAATAACGACTTTTGGAACAAATATTTCTTACTAATATAATGTGTACAATTTTCTCAACAAAATTATATGGTTTTGGGTTGTATTATGACCAAAAAATGTATTTTTCATGTCATTTTTTTGTTACACTCAATTTTCCTACTATTTCTTAATTCCGTGTTTCACGGAAATAATTCCGTGATTTATCAGCCAAATTCCGTGATAGGCCTAGGCCTACAGCAATTTTGGAGCTAGAAGTTCCTAAAATGACCAGAAACTGCCTAATTTCATAAACAAGTTGGAAAATATAACATCAAACACTTTATTGTACCAGCAGAAGACGATGACAGATGAAATTAAGATGTTTGTAAAGAGTAAGAAGAAAGATCATGCACCACATCCATAGAGGCTAAACTCCAATAAACATATATATTTTTGTTTTTCCAATTTTATTTAGGCCTAGGCCTAATAAAATAATTTATCGAGATTGGAAAAGAAGGAATGTTAACTAAATAATATAACAAAACACAAGAAGCATGTGTAAAAATGAATTTATTGAAAAGTCTACAATAAATTGGTTAGGTACCTACTAACTTAAACAATAACTAAACAAATCACAGACAAGACCAAACTAGGCTTTATTGGATGAATTAAACTACTCATTCTATCTTGTATGCAAGGCATGTTACTACAATCAATTACGTTCCTATACTGAGACTGATCTGTTTTCCTCTTCATTTTCTTGTCGCCAACATAGAATAAATAATTATTAAAACTCATTTTAAGTAAACTCAATCAAAACTACCTATTTATTTACAAAAAACAATAATAATGTAAAACAAACCTAATAGCAGATGATTCATAACTTTATAACTCAGCTGATAACAATAATCCTACACTTGGTTATTTATTAACCGATCTTTGCGATTGTATATCAACGTTAGATTAGTCATTCACTGTTCTCGATTTGTGCCAGAACGGCGTTCCGGTACCACTCTTTTGGAGAGATAAAAATATCCATCATAATAAGGTACCGTACCGGTATTACCGTATTCATATTAAATAGGTTACATTTCCCGAGGTCACAGTCCGAACGTCCACTAATTAGTGGAAATCGGATCAATCCGAACGCCTCATTGCTGTATTCTATACACAGTAGGCCTACAGTAGTAAAACCTAAGTGAGAAAGTTTGGATCTATGGATGGATAGATGGATGGATGTTTGTGACAAGTGAACGTAGAAAATACTGGTCATATTGGGCTGAAATTTGTTGTGATGATAACTCACATTCCCGATTAACATAGACACATTCTTATCTCAAAAATCCTCTCGGGCTCCACCCCAGTGGCTCTGGAGTTTCCAATGTTAACCTTATGAGTATTCATATTGAAAAGGAATAAAAGAATTTTGTCAGCTGTTTCAACGACACAAGTTGGTTCTATGATATTAAATAGCATTAACAAGTTATAAGGTTAACCAAAAGGGTGCAGCACTATTGGTTTTTTTTTGTATTTATGACAACATCTAGAACCAACTAACAATAAAAAGCTGTGAGAAATGAGAATTTCACTTTTTTATTGTGTAGGGCAGTTGTAGAACATTAAGTTATGGCTATGGTAGATGTGCTATGCTATAGCTTACCCTACCTTAAATTAAAAGACACAATTTTCTTAAACTGTGTCCTCTCGCATTGTAAATGCAAAGCACTGAGTATAACTGCAATAAGCATTTTATACTGATACGCCAACCCCGTACGAAGGACAGGTACAGACAGTGTCATTAGTCTGTGCGCGCGGATCTGACGCTACTAGCCATTCTATAAAACTTGGGCTCACTCACTCCATTATGGTCTCACTCACACCAATAGTCGTCTATAAAATTTCTAGCTGGAATAATCAAATTTCTAATTGAATCACCTGATTGAAAAAAGTAAATATTTATATTCTTTTCTAAATATTATTGTAGCAGAGTGTGTTTAACGGAAAGATTAGTTTAGTTTAACTGTGTTTTTTGTTTAATACTGTGTTTTAACGTATTCGGCATACATAGAATTATGTGTGACAGAGTGAAAAGTAAGTTGAAGGGTAGGACGCTGAACGGACAGAGTCGGGAGATAGTAAGCAATGTTTACCAGTTTATGAAAAAAGAGGCTGACGATAAAGCTGTAAGCATTCCCTTGACAAAAGCTCGCGCCCGAACAGCAGTGGCAACAGGGGTCTCGGAGCGAGTCATAACGAAGATTAATGGCGAACTTAAAGCACTACTAATACATGATGACGATGATAGCAACAAAAGTTTTTGTACTCCTAGTAAGTTAAAAGAAAGCAGAAAAAGGCCCGTCACTGGAGTGGATGATTTTGATAAGGCTTTGATAAGACGCTTGGTGTACGAGTTCCACATTCAACATAAAATACTACCAACAGTTTCTTTACTACACGAGGAACTAAAAAAACAGATAGATTTCAAAGGATCAAAATCAAGCCTTAGGAGAATTCTGAAGGAGCTTGGATTCAGATGGAGGAAAACGCAGAACAACCGAAAAATGCTGATTGAGACAAACGAAATCCGGGAAAAGAGAATTTCTTATTTGAGAGCAGTCAAACGTTTCAGAAATGAGGGTCGTACTATTATTTTCATGGACGAATCATATATTTTAACAAGCCATGTTTCAAGTCTATCGTGGTCTGACAACTCAACCAATGGAATGCGTGTACCCATTTCTAAAGGACAACGCCTAATAATGATTCATGCAGGAAGTGAAGCTGGTTTTGTCCCTAACGCATTGACGATGTGGAAGGCATCGAGCACCACGGGTGATTATCACGACAATGTCAGGAAGGAAACCATGATCAAGTGGATGAAAGAGAAACTTCTGCCGAACATACCACCGAACTCCGTGATAGTTGTAGATAACGCACCTTATCACAATGCGCAATTAGACAAAGCACCCACATCAAATAGTAGGAAACAAGAAATGAAGGACTGGCTAACCAAACATGGAATACAATATTCAAACGAAATGCTGGTTCCCGAGTTGTATAAGCTTGTACTGCTGAACAAACCAAGATTCATTCAATATGAAATTGATGAACTACTCACGGGTACTGACCATGTTATTCTTCGTCTCCCCCCCTACCACCCAGATCTAAACCCAATAGAACTTATTTGGGCTGAAGTAAAAGGTTATGTAGCTAGCAGAAACGTAAATTGTAGGTAGCTTCGAGAGTATCCGTTCATTGGCACAGGAAAAATTTGATATCATTGGTGCAACAGAGTGGAAAAACAAGTGCGACCATGTAAAAACTATTGAAAATAATTATGCTTCAGCTGAGCCGCGGATCGACGACCTCATGGAATCAATGGTCATATCAGTAGGAAACAGCGACAGCAGTGATGAAGAAGACGATGATATGAGTGACATTGAAGACTTCGTTTAAAATATATACAGGCCTTACCTTGTAAATAGTTAATAAACTAAAATTTGTTAATCAACTTTTATCATTCAACTATTTAGGCCTACGTATTTGCTTTTACTGGTGTTTTATATTTATTTTCAGTTTGATATTATATGCTTATGATAATACAGCCACGGTTAGATAAAAATCAGTCGTAAGCTTAAAGAAGTCTTTTAGTAGTCGTCAATTTTACAAGATTTGTCAAAATGGTTTATATTTTTGAAATCTGAACAAAAAATAATCCTTCAGTTACATTTGAATATGGGTAAATGAATTAATAAAGCATCCAGTTAATAAGATGATTATAGACTTTAATTAAGTGTACAAACATATTTATACTAAGACCTTGTGAAAATAACCAAACAACAAAGGTTATAAATTTAGCAACAATCAGT